TGTGAAATAAGTTTAACCAAACAGTCCAAAATAACTTTTTCAAAGCTAAAAGCCATAAGTTGGCTCTGAAAAGCTGAAACAAACACCCCATTGTGCTTGATTTTGTTTAGTTAAGTTCAAATTTGTATTTTAGATCTGTATTTCTTTACTTCTGTTTTGTATCTTCGTCGTTTAGATATGTTTTTCACCGACTTCTTATTCGTGTTTAGATTTGTGTATGATGATGATTTTGTTGTTATTGTTGTTGTTGTTGTTGTTGTTGTTGTTATTTTTGATGTTGATGATGAAACAGATTGCAATAGTTAGAGAAAAAGAAGATAACCAAACCAAACCAAACTAAGCCTTAAATCCTATCAAATGGGGTCTGTTACATGAATCCTTCTTCTCCACGCGGCCCTATCAAGGTTTGGTGATTTGGTTTGGCGATTTGGTTTGGCTTTGTAATTTCAAAATATTAATAAATAAATAAATAAAATAGGACATATAGAAAAATTTGAAGAAAAAAAAATTAAATAGATAAGAAAATTTAAACAGATAGAAAATTCACAAAGAAAAAAATTTGGTCAGGTAGAAAATTTACACAAATAAAATTTGGAAAAATAGATAAAATTAAACAGATAGATATAAATTTGAACTAATAGTCAAAAAACTTAAACAGATTGGAAAATTTTTGAACAGATAGGAAAAAAACTTGAATAGATAGTCAATGGATAAAAAAGTCAACAGATAAATTAAGGGTAAAATTAAAAACAAAATGTCTTTTAAAATAAACAAAAAATACTTCTTACTAATTATTTCATAAAAAAAAAATCTCTCACTAACAAAAAAATAAAAATAAAATAAAAAATCCACTCAACTTAGTGTCTTATCCCTCATTAACTTGAACTTTTCAGTAATCATTCCCAAAATAAATCAAATTATAAAATAAATTTCGTGGTGAGTTGGAGAAAACCTAACGACATGGTTTAATCTTGTTACTCAGCTAATCAGAGAGAGTTTGGACCCTTGACGTGGTCACTTAAAATGCATAACACCAAATAACGATAAAGTAGTAGGCATCACATGAAATTACAGTACAAGCAATCAAAAATTTCTGCCCTGGAAGTGGAAGACACAGTTCTTAAAGTCATAAATAAAATCACTACAAGAAACGACACTTTTAGCTACTAAAATGTTGGTTGCCAAAAGTCCGATATTTGGTCGCTGAAACAATTCAGTGACTAAAAAGTATGTCGCCAAGTTCGTCGCCTATTATCCCTGTCGGCGATAGTATTGGTGACTAAACTTTTTTTGGTCGCCGAAAGTGAAACATTTGCCTACTAAATTTGTTTTAGTCCGCAAATGTTATCTTTTCACGACTAAACCTTTAGTCACCGAAAGTTACTTTTGGCTACTAACGTTCGTTTGGTCAGGGAAGGTGTTCCTTTTTGCTAACTAAAAATTGGTCACCCAAAGTTAACATTTGGCTACAATGCCTTAGTTAGTCGGAAAGGTGACATTTCGGCAACTAAATTTTAGTCACTGAAAGTTCTACCGTAAAATTTTTTCCAACTAGTAGTAGAGACTAAATATTTTGGTCACCAATAGAATACAGATTTGTAGCGACCATGTCATTTTGTCATGGTCACTTTTGCAGACTACAATTGGTCGTAGCCAAAAACCTCTTAAGTTTCACTTCATTACTTTTTGCCACCAAACGTTTTAGTCGCCAAATGATACCATTTTTTTTTCCGTGACTAAAAAATTTAGTGGGCAATAGTTTCTTTCTCTTATTCTCAATTGTTTTAGCTACTAACTATTTGGTTGCAAAAACTTATTTGGTTATGTTTTTGCTACTAAATTATTAGTCGCCAAAACATTTGATTACGTATTTGGCTACCAAAATATTTGGTGGCCAAATACTTCTTTGTTGTTTTTTTTTTTTTTAAATTTCTGAACAACCTGTATCCATTATTAGAACAACCTATATCCATTATTAGTACAACCTGTACCCTGTATAAACAATATAATCTATTAACGCTAAATATATTATCAATCATTCAACAACGTGCACACATTTCATTTCCAACCATCCAAAAAATTAATATTGAACGTCCAATTCTATATATAATACAAATTCCATACGAACCAAGTCTAATCCAACGTCAATAATTTAATTCCATACATAATACAGGAATAACCACATTAATTAACAAAAAGGACATATGTGCCACAACAAAAATTTAATCTGTACTACCCCAAAACTATTTTGTACGACGTGCTATGCTAATTTTTACCATGCCAAATTAGCTGATATTTGCCACACCAAAAAAGTAATTTGTATGAACCACTATATATACAAATAGAGGTATAAAAACAATGCCCTCTCGTACTTGTCAAAAAAATTCATATCCACATTTGTATGTCCAAAACCAAAAAATAAATAAATAAATAAATAAATAAAATCGTTAGTTTGGTGCCTATAGAGGCACTTTTGGACGACATATAGCAACTGTATTAATTTCAAACATTAAAATACAAGGACATTAATAGCTATTAAATAATGAAAGACACCCAAACATGGACTGGTAGACGAGCATTGATTCTATGAATTAATAACAAAAGTTATGTTTATGGCAATTAAAAGGGCCACAGCCAACAAAAGCACGAAACAATTTATCAAAAATATTGTTCTACATAAACTAATAAAGAAAGAGTTAAACAAATTATAATTTAAGATGGTATAACGAAAATAGTTACCCACGACATGGGCATTTCCTGTTCTACCACATAAATACATTGTCGCCCCCCAAGTGCTTTTTTCAACTATTTTTATGGCATTTTCAACTCTAACTCCCAACATAGGTGTCCTATTTACGTACCGTCTATCCCTACATGTCACATTTGGCACCAGAAAGCTTCCTGTTACGTAAAAATAGTGGTTCAGGGGGTGTTTTGCATTTTCGCCCCCCGAACCCCTTTTTTCGACTAAATTTATGACATTTTCAACTCTAACTCCCAACGTAGGTGTCTTATTTACGTACCGTCTGTCCCTACATGTCACAGAACAATTCATAAAAATATTTTGAACCCTTTTTTATATGGAAATTTTTGCCTGAAACTAATTCCGATGACCATTCGAGGCTATAAATTAAGTACTAAAATATATCATAAAACAGTGTGCGAAAATGGATCAATAAATGAATGATTCAATTAAGATATGTCATGACTATACAAACAAATCTGTCCAGAAATCCAGTCTATCAGAGTTTTAGCCCATTCATAAAATGCTAACAATTTGATAAAGATAAATAAGCATTCCATTGCATCTTCCACAATTGAAAGAATATCATTCTTGGGGAAGTTTGTAAACTTATAGTTATCAATTCTTCAAAACATATATTCATTGTTACACAGACAACATGTTTTTGGTTAATCTTATGTTGCTTATCCTGCACTAGAAAACAAAATAGTTGAGTAATGGGGGTAAATAAAACAGTACCACTTCGATTTTCCCAAGAGCAACATCTAGCTTCTTAGAGAGCTCAGAATTTTCATTTTTTAAGGCTACAATTTGCAATAACTTAGAAACAAGGAAATAAGATTACAGATTTGTGAAGAACAAAAAGGCACAACAAGGCACTAAAGAAATATAACCTTCTTTTGTGAGTCAATATACAAGCTTTTGTAGTTGAGATCAGCAGAAAAGCTGTCACATTGGAAGTGTCTCTTGGGTGCCTGTTAAACATTTTGATGAAAACACACATACAACAAAATAAATAAATAAATGAAGAAAATATTTTAATAAAAAACTGAAGAATAATGGCGAAAGATAATGAGGTTAGTGCCAATTAATTAAATGCCTTAGACTTCAATTCTTCTACAGCTTGAACAAAGATGCCGAATATGGATATGCAAATATGCATCTATAGTTTGAGAAAGAGAGAGAGAGAGAGAGAGAGAAAGAGAGAGAGAGATGATGATGGAAGAAAGAAAAAAAAAGATGCCGAATAATACAGAAAAAGAAGAAAAAAATAGCAGCAAAACAAAGAAACATAGAACCATTACCGGCGTCAGTCGGTCACTCACTCGCCGCCATTGTTTGCTGCTCGCACCGTCGTTGGTCACTCCCCGCCGTCGTTTGTTGCTTGCTGTCGTCGCATGCTGCTCGATGTTGTCGTTTGTTGCTCGCCGTTGTCTGCCGTTGCTCGCCGTCTCTCTATCTCTCTCTCTCTCTCTCTGAGACAGAGACAGAGCCGTAAGAAGAGATTACGGATTTTGGTTGAAGGGGATTTTGGTTCAACAAATTGGGGATTTTTAGTTAAGGAGGGGAAAATCGAGCGGGAATGGAAAAAAAAAAAAGCTAAGCTTCAGATTTTGGATATTTTTTTTTTTTCTTTCCCTCATAAATGAATATTTAAACAACAAAACGACGCCGTTTAACTCTTTTTTTTTTGCGACGGGGGTTTGCTGTCGCCAAAAAACTTTATTTTTTGTTAAAATAATTTTTTTTAGTTGATGAATTTTTTTTTTCATTTTTTTAGTTACTAAAGCTGAAAATTTATTTGTTTCATTTTTATTTTAACAAAAAAAATTATTATTATTTTTATTTGGTAGAAGTAGGGGTAACATTTTAATGAAAAATATTTTCTATTAAAATAAAGTTAATTTTTTGTGGTCAATGAAAAATATTTTTCTGCGGCCCATTTTTTTTTGTTACTAAAAATCAGGAACTAATTTTTTGTGGTAGAGGAGATGAAGTGGCAGTAGTGGTGGTAGTGGAGTGGTGGCGATGGTAGTAATGGTAGTCGTAAAGATGGAGTGGCAACAATTGTAATAGTGGTGGTAATGGAATGGCATTTGCAGTAGTGGTGAAGATGGTAGAGGAGATGGGTGGTGAGAGAGAGAGATGGGTAAGAGATAGATAAAGGAGAGAGAGAGAGAGAGAAACAGAGAGAGAGAGACAAAGGGATAAGCGAGAGAGAAAGAGACAAAGTGGTCGCTAAAAGTGCATTTTCTTGTAGTGAATTGATAAATCGAGAGGGAGCTCAATAAATAGAGAAGATGAGAAGGAGAGAGTGAGCAAGGCGAACACAGTAGAGGAGAGAGAGAGAGAGACAGACAGACAGACAGACAAACAGACAGGCAAACAAAGAGAGAAAGAGACAGAGACAGAGACAGAGAGAAAAAGAGATAGAGAGAGAGAAACAAGAGATGAGCAAGAAATAGACAAAAACAGAGAGAAAGAGAGCGAAAAGAGATAAACGAGAGAGAGACAGAGAGAGAAGAGAGATGAGCAAGAGAGACAGAGAGAGAGAGAGAAGAGAGCTGAACGAGAGAGATAGAGAGAGAAGAGATGAAAGAGATAGAGATAGAGAGAAGAGAGATGAGCGAGAGAGAGAGAGACAGAGAGACAGACGAACATACAGACAGAGAGAGAAGAGTGATGAGAGAGAGACAAAGACAGAGACAGAGAGACAGGAAGATGAAAAAATGGGTGAAAAGAGAAATGTTATATCAAAAGAGTAAGACGACGTCATTTTAAAAAAAAAAAATTGCAACAGAAAAATATCGTTGCATTTATTCAAACCATTTTGTGACTATATATATATGAAGCCGTCTTAAAGCCACAATATATATATATATATATATAGTTTGAAATGGTACCTATTACAATCGCAAAAAACTCACTTCTTTTTTTTTTTTTTGTGACTGCAGCTGGTGCCGTCACAAAAACTCTATTTTTTCGCGACAGTAATCTTTGTTGTCACAAATACTCTTCTTTTTTTGTGACAACAATTTATGTCGTCCCAAATACTCTTCTTTTTCGTGACAGCTTTTTCTACTGTCCCAAATACTTTTTTTTTGCGATAGCAAATTGTGCCATCGCAAAAACTCACCTTTTTCACAACAGCAAATTGTGCCGTCGCGAAAACTCACCTTTTTTGCGACAGCAGGTTGTGCGGTTGCAAAAAGTCATTTTTTGACACGGCAAGTGTGCCGTCGCAAATGCTTCCATCTTTTAAGCCCACTTTTTTGTAGTGTACTCTCAAACATGTCATTCACTTATTTGGAGGAAAATTCTTAAGCCTTCTAAAATATTAATTCCAAATTTACTCGTAATATTTTTATATCCATCAGTTAAGATAATTCCTTAACTACCAAATCTATGATTCCAAAAGAAGGGAATGGGAGTTCCTGTTGTCTGTGAAGCATGGCAGGCACTGTTGTGTATGCTTTAAGGTGTATTTTGAATTTTATTTTGTCAAATTGAATTGTTTATTTTTTTTTAGTATACATCGTATAGAATATACGCAAAAAAAAAAAATTTAATTGAATATTGATAACTTTTTCATTAAAATATATTTATATTCAAAAAAATGAAAGATAAGTTTTATTTTAAATATAAAACTGCATACAAATATATTTTGATAAAAAAATAATTCATATTTGATCAACTTAAAATTTTACATGTATATTCCACACGATATATTTCAAAAAAATGAGTAATTTCCATTATAAAATAAGATCTAAAATTCTACCCATCAAATGGGGACAACAATGCACAAGAAGACCCTAAGTAATGTGGATAAGCCACATCATCAAAGCAAAGTCACATCACTTTTAGCTTTCCCTCATATATGGGTAATATTATGGTCAGCGACAAAAGGATATGTATCATATGTAAGTTGTGACATTTTATAGGTTTAAATACTATAAATGTCATAACTTAATTCTATGGGGAAAAATAAAAAAGTTACAATCAAAGATCACATAAGACATAACCAAACAATTCTTGGATCATAATTAAAATTTTGTTATAACCAACATCACAGTGTGTCATAACTAGGGCAGCAAACAAGTCGAGCTGAGTTTTAGTATGTTTGGACTTGTTTTTTAAGATTTTTAGCGAGTTCGAACTCGAACTCAAACTCAAGCTCAATAAAAATTTAACGAACTGACCTTTTTCTTATCAAAAAAAGGAATATCAATATTTCCTTTTTTCTGACCATTTTGCTTGAGTGTTACCATTGTATTGTTCAAACACTCTTGCAGAAAAGAAGTTGAATTTTGAAACTTTATAAATTTCTGGAATAACAACTTCTTACATTTTTTTTAATTTTGCTAATTCTTCGTCGGTAAAAGTTTTTTCTTCTTCAATTACATCTCCAAGTCGAATGGCTTGTAATTCTTTTTGAGATACACTATCTGCTTCTTGAAATATTTCTTGACCATTATTAGTCATCATGAAGATTAGTTTTTCATCTGAACTTTCTTTGTCACTAGAAATTTTGTATAAAATTTCTTCTTCATCAGAAATTTCTTCGCCATATATTATTTCAAAATCTTGTTCCTCAAGAACTTTGATCATTTTCTTTGCACTTTTTCCTCTTTTTGGGCATTCGGGTGCATAGTGACCGGTACTTACAATGTTAGTATCATTTTAACTTCATTTGTTTGAATAAAGTCAAAAATTTCTCTGTCTCCCCATGTGCCAAATATTTCGGGATCAATTGGTTCTTCTGTCTTTCTTTTCCCTTTATTTATTTCTGGTGAAATATCTTGATCTAATGTTTCTTCAGATGAGAATGATTGGCTGTCATCATCATTAGTTGACATATTAATATCATAATTAAAGTATTGTAAAAGGGCTTAATGTTCTAGGTAAGTTTCTCTTATCTGATTTAGTAGCCTATTTCTTTCATCAATACCTAAATCTGGATCTTTATATAATTTTCTCCAATAATCCAATATTTCAACAATATTTTCATATTCACTCTTATTATAGGTATTGGTTTGAAGTACCATATTATCTTCTGTACCATCAAATAGCCTAGGAATTTAATTATCTCCTGGACTATTCATTCCATTATTGTTTATGAAGGATACAGTTTCTAATTTTGTCACCAAATTGTATATTTGGTTTTTTGCTTCTTTGTTTAAGTCAACATTTATTATAGAACCCAAATTGTCTATTTTGGATTTCATAGACTCAACTTTGGTTTCTAGATAATTTTGATTTTTTTTTTATTTTTATCTAATTTAGGAAATCAAGAACACATAATATCAGTAATATTATTTAAACTAGAACACACTATTTATATTTGCAGACTCTTTAGTAATATGCAAACTATGGTCATATTTATTATTAACAGTATTTTTTGTATTTCCAAAGCATATATTGGTACCTAAGACCCTCCTAGTGTATTTATCCAGTGTCTAAAACCTCTTTACGATATTAAAGACTTAATTATGACCAATAGTCAAAGGATCTTTGAAAAATCTAGAAATCCCCTAAATGTTGATTTGTGATTATGTATCAATTTTAAGCAGTATATAACAATCCCAATCAAATAATCAAGACAAATCGATACAACGATTTTACGTGAAAAAATCACAATTGGACACCTCCAATTGTGATAAAAAACCACAGGCAACGGCCACAAAACAATCCACTAAGAAGATATAAAGGAATTACACAGGTATACTCTCAATTACCTAGCGAATCCACGCCCAAATTGAATCAACCTTTATGTGTCTCTTCCAACCCCGTCTTCACCTAGGAATTGTCTTGACGATGAGCCACTCCGGAATCCACCAAAGCTTCAGGCTCGAATTCTTCAGAATCCACCGAAGAACAACTCTCTCTTTTGTGTAGAACAAACAAATAATCCTTTGATGTATACTCTTTAAACCATGAGTTGAAGACTCAATCAAAACATCAAAGAAAACTAGCAAAATATCTCCAGAGATAAACCTTAATATCCAAAAAGAAGATCTGGAGAAGTAATCTTAAAATCTAATAGAAACCCGTACTTATAGAAATCTGAATCGCGATGCTCGCTCGAGCGAAGACTCTCTCGCTCGAGCGAGGAACCAAAAACGCGTGTTTTCCATAAGTGGCTTCGCTCGAGCGCACATTAATCTCTTTCAGGTTTTTAGCCAGACGCAGTCTTCGCTCGAGCGAGCACTCCTTTGCTCGAGCAAGCAAGGGCAGACATGCAACTTCGAATGCAATTTTGCATTTTGCTTTGGGGGCGCTGCCCCTCGACCCCGTCGTGGCGCTGCCCCGGACCCACCGTGGCACAATTCAGGTTGGATTTGCATCTAATCACTCATAGCCTCACTGAAATAAAAAGTGCGAAAACAAATACAACTTAAAGGAGTTTTGTCAAACGGGGTTGCCAAGAATAAAAACCTAACAACCTCCCCCTTTGGCAATGCCGTGACAAAACACACCTAACAAATACAATCCTAAACACCCCAACCCTTACAACCAATAAAAACAAACTTCTTTCTCAGGGTCATGATCTGCAAAACAACTATTA